CCAAGGCCCTGACTCACACGAGACACACGACGCCCTCACACTAAAAAAAACTACGTGTTTTTCTTGACTCGGTCACTCACTTGGATGGGGCTACTACGACACTCTTGCCCTCGATCCGCTCAACGCGCGCATGCAGATCGGCCACCAATGCCGTGTCGAACACGATGGGATACATCGGCCCGCCCTGCAGCTTGGCTGCACGCTGAATGGCCATCTTGATGTGGGCGCCCACACCTGTGCACGGCACAGGCGACGCATGGACGACGTGTCACTTGGACGCTTCCCTTTGTCACTACTCCCATTCCTTTGCCCACTTACGTGTCGGCCTCCATAGACGTTGGAGACCTCGACGAGTTTTGTGTATAAGGTGGTGAAGCGCGGCGCTTTCTCACGCTCCTCTGGCAGGAGCCCGTTGCGGTACATCTCGCCGAGCTTTGCAGCGTGCGGAGGATGTCGAGTGGGCCCACTTCCTTCACGTCGGTATACGTGAGCTGCAGGCTTCCTGTCCGTGCCCCGAAGACCGTGTTGTCCTTGTCCCTTCCTTTGCGCACTTCGATGGCGAGGGCTGCGCACAGGTCGCGCTGCATGGAGCCGTCTAGGTAGTGGGCGAGCATGTCTCCTTCCAGCAGCTGTCCCTGGGACCGCAGCTGCTCCTCCAGCCTTTTGACCACGTCGGCCAGCCGGCCGAGTGCTGGGTGCTGGAGAAAGAGAGGGTCTGCTTTGATGCTGTCCACCTCGGACACGTGCTGGACGTTGCGGTCGGATGTGGTGATCAGCTGGCAGAAGACGCTCCTGTTATCGACAGCCGGTGCCTGCACACACACACACACACACACGCACGCACACCACCACACACACCAGAGCCCACACAAATTGCCCCTCGGCGAGCGCTACTTGGTTGAGCACGTGCTCTCACTGACCGCGGCCTGCTGCATGGCCTGCTGTATACTGGTGGCTAAGGCCTGGCACGCGCCCATATCAAACTGGCCACTTGGCTGTACGGGGTTGGGCGACGAGTCGCCCAGGTTGCCTCCGGTCAGGCTGGTGAACGGCGTGGGCACTGCCTCACTCGGGT